CACCAAACCACAAACGGCAGCTCTGAGCCTGCCTTGAAATTCTCCGACAGCACAGCCTGAACAAACCCTTTCCCCTCAGTCTTAAGGCTCACATTCATTTTCATCCGTTGCTTTTTAAGGGGGTGGGCATGGGGACTGGTGAACTATCTTTATCGGGAGGTAGTTAAAAGGGAGAGCACCCATTTCTAAAAAAATAACAGTTTATATATGAAACCATGATAGTAGTAACATGAGCCAAAAACGTCAGTAAACATTTAAAAACACCCCTGGTGTCACAGCCAGTGGCTCTGGGCCCTCAGCAGCTTCTCAAGACCGTTGGTGCTGGTCTCTAGGGTGGCAGGGAAGGCCTGGGCCAGCCTCACAGCTGAGCCTGATGTGCAGCCTGAAAGGCAGCATGGATACTACTGGAGTCTGAGTCAGGGACAAAAGGCTTTCCAGGATGCCCAGCTCTCCTTTCTTATTTTAAGTAGAAAAGCACAGAATTAGCAAAGCCCCCTACTCAGACCTGGAAGAGAGTGGATGAGCCGCCCAGAGGACAAGGCCAGTCATGTGAGCACTTACCTCAAGCCTCCTGCAGCCACGATTTCCCCACCATGACTGACTATATGCATAAACTGAGCCAACATACACTCTTTACATCTGGGCTTGGTTTAGCCAAGGAAGAAGATATCAGAATGGTGTTGGGCCAGCTCTAGTTCTCCTTGGGCTCCTCAGCACCTGAGAACTTCTACTTGGGTGTCTCTTGAAGCCCTGAGCTGCCAGCGACATCTGGATACTGATGTAGGAGCAATAAGGAGTCCATGTGGGGATGGAGAGTATCTCAGGATATGCAGCAAGTATGTAGAAAGGGACAACACATAACAATGCTGGCTCTATGTGTGCATAATTACACTGGGATCCCAGTAAGACCTACAGAAGAACCACCCAGCTGAGCCCAACCCATGCTGCAGAACCGTTAGAAATAAAACGATGGCTGTTTTAGGTTAGCTATTACACAGCACTAGGGAAAAGACATCTTTGAAGCAGGTAAAGTAGAGAAGGGAAAAAAAAAAAAAAAACAAAAACAAAAACGGTCCAAGCAGAGCCTCAAACGCATTACTGCAGCCTCAAAGCCCATCCTTTGTCACCCAGTGAATTAAAGGACTGGAGCAGAGGGGAGAAGCCAGCCTGACATGGCATCCTGTCCACCCAGCTCTAAAGGAAGAGCCAGAGGAATACTGCACACACAATATCAGTAGCACCTGCCAGGTGAGCTTGCTTGCAAGTCACTCATGGGCTCTTACATCAGGAATGGAAACATGAACATAGAACCTCCCTTTGCGGCCTGTACAGTGCGTGATTAAGATCATTCTGAAACCATGCCGTCGGGGCTCAAACCCTGTCTCTCATAATGACTAACACCTCCACACCTCCATTTCCTTGCCTACAGTGCCTGCCCAGCAAGATTGTCCTAAAGACTGAGTTTTGCACTCAGTTAGAAGGCCGGCCGGCAGGCAGGCAGGCAGGAGCCTGGCACCTGCTGAGAGCCTGCTAGGTAGCTGCTCCAGTGTTTTGTTTTAAAGATTTCAAACCACAGAAAATACTGACATTATTAAATGTCATTTTAAAACTTCACTTCTTTTCCATATTCTTCCATATCTTCCGTGTTTCTCCCCTCACATAGTCAGCTTTAAAAAAAACTACATTTTAGTAAAGTTAGAGAAAATTAAGCACATCGCTGTGAGAATTAGGCTAAAAGGTGACAAGTGGAGTGTGTGGACCCCCCCCCCCCACACACACACCCAGCTGAGGTGCTACAGAGGGCACAGGTGTGGAGTGAACTGCAGGCTGCTGCCTGCTGGTGACCTCGAGCAGGCAGGTCCCTTTACTTGTCTTCGGTTGGAAAAGATGTATGCCACCATCCCACCTGCTCTGACCCCCATGGGTGAGGTAAATTAAGCCCAACCGTGAAAAGCCCTTATATCTCCTAAGGCAATAGTTAAAGGTTACATCTTACATCTATTTATGGAATTTCACATCCTACAACAATAATCTCTCCCATTTTGGACGGTTTTCAAATAAACCCCAAATGATCCCTGCCCACAAGGGAAGCCACAGCAAGGGCCTTTTTCGAGTGCTAACAAGAAGCCCATTTGCTTTATGAACCTGAGGAGTAGGCATTCTTTTGAACACTCTCAAAAATAGCTCAGTCCATTTCGGAAAACCAGCTTTGAACACGGGAAGAAAGAACTCCCCATCGCTCTGCACCAAAGCGCAATAGGTCACTCTGCAGCAGCCGGAGCTTTGCATAAAGGGAAAGGGGAAGGGCCTGGGGTTCTGCTTGGGTCTGGTGAAGACCCGCTAATCTGATGTGTGGGGCTTGCTTTGTCCATCCTTCTCCCCCTTCCCCTACTGTCTTGAAATTCACAAAAGGGCTTAGAAGTGATATTTCCGGCCCAGTGGTTCTTTCAGCCACTGCTGGGTTCGGACCAGATTTAGCCCTCGGACAGCAGGTGATGGGACCAGCACAGTGCCAGGGGAGGTACCAAGCCTGCTCCAGCTCTCTCAGCCTGGTTGTCACAGGTCACGTAGCCCCGTGCACAGGCTCTACCTCAGAATTCAGAATCACCCTGTAAGGGACATAGGAGGCTGATAAAGGAGGGAGAGCAAGGAACCAAAGAGAAGAAGTTCCACTCAAATACTCCCCTCCAAAACTGTTAGATATATGCCACCCGCCGTTTTCCTGGAGAACAGAGGTGACTGTTTTAGCAGCAAGCTAGAAGCCACAGAGCAGTCTGCCAACCCCCGGCCCCCATCCCCAGTTCTGCCTCTGACCTACGTAGCTAAGCAGCGAGATACCAATGCTGCTGTTAGGTTTTTGTTTTGCGTTTTTCTTCTCCTGCTTTCTAGGGGCTGATGGGTTGACCCCTCCCAGTCATACCCACATCTTGTGTGCAGGTGAGGTCAACCTGCCTTAGAGCAGGGTAGGAGTCCAGGAGGAGCCATTTGTCCCACCAGCCTGGACTGACCTAAGGTAAGGAGACAAGTGACATTACAGAATTCAGAATGAAGGCTGAGACACTCACAGCCTATGGCTGCCACAGTCCCAAATGCTGCTCATCTACTCTGGGACCAAAGGTTTCTCTGCACAGTGTTGACTTCAGCAAAAGTTGCCTCCGAGCCAGACTCTTCCCCAATAGTCTTCATAGCTGCCACTGCCCAACATTCCCTGTCCTCCTGTGCCCTAGTCCCCTATCTTCAGGCCTGACACAGGAACTGCCCACTTCAAAGTCATATACCATCTCTCTCCAAGTACCTGGGAGGGAGCCCCCAGGAAATCCGAGCTTAGGCTCTGTAAGGGATCATTATGGGGGTCCCTCTCTAGTATAAAGAACGGGAAGCAAGTTCCAATGTCCCAGGGACTTACTTGCTTCCAGAACTCTTTTTGCACCTATGAAGGATTTGAAATACCAACACATGCTGTATAACACACTCATCCAAATAGGAACTCCCCTGAGAATCAGTCATGGTGGCCACAGCCTTAAACACTAAGCCAGCCAGTCCTCAGGCAGTATGAGCTGAGCCAGGATATGGATGCAGGTACTCGCTACATGACACTGACTGGGCAGTGGGCTCTGACTCAACACTGGAGCTGGGTCACCTCTCTGGATAGCCAAAACAATGACAAAGCCAGTTCTTCTGGCAGCCATTAAGGTGCCCTCAGCGGTCCTAGCTGATTTGCCATGTGACACACTTCAGCATTTGCTGCTCAAGACAGTGAACCTTTAAAACCCGACATCCAATGTGGGTGATTTAGTTATTGTTCTACTGCTGGGAAGAGACACCACTGCCATGGCAATTTATAAAAGAAGGGATTTGATTTGGGGCTCACAGTTCCAGAGGGTGAACATACAGCCGGGAGCTCAGATCATGCCCAGTCAGAGGCAGAGAGAAAACAGAGAACTGGAAATGTGTGACACATTCCTCCAACAAAGCCACACCTCCTAATCCTTCCCAAACAGTTTCAGCAGCTAAGGACTAAGCATGCAAATGTATGAGCTTTTATGGGGCTCGTTCTCATCCAAACCACCACAGTGGATCACTCACCCAGAGACCACAGGACTACCAACTGTGTGCCATGCTCCATGCCAGGCAGCATGGATGCCAGAAGGAATAAGACACAGCTTGTATTCTCAGGGATCTCAAAATGTATGGAAGGAAACAGATGGAAGAGTAAGCTGCTACGTGGAAGGAGAGCTGTCATAACTGGATCACTAATTCAGCCCCCATGACATCAGAAGGAATCCAAATAAGGCTGGATGTGTGTGTGTGTGTGTGTGTGTATGTGTGTGTGTGTGTGTGTGTGTGTGTGTGTGTGTGTGTTGTACATCTATAAAACCTACATTCTATTATGAGAGAAAATGTGATTATCTGTCTTGTAGGTCTAGTTCACTTTGCTTAATACAATCATCTCTAATTTTCTCCATTTTCCTGCCAATGATATAATTTCAATCTTCTTTATAACTAACTAAATAAAACTCTACTACTACACACACATATATATGTATATATACACCATATATAATATATACACATATATATGTACATACACACACACACACACACACACACACACACACCTTTTTTTTTAATCCATTCATCTACCAGAGGACAGCCAGGATGATTCCAAAACTTGGCTATAGCGAGTATCTGATGCATCATTTTGGACAAAATGGAATCAGTAGTCAGTCACCTATCCATCATCCGTAAGCCAAGTCTGCAGTCAATGTAGGTAGCCTACACTATGCCTATCCTTTCTTTGTGAATTGCCAGAGAGGTAGGAAAAGAGACTAACAAAAGCCTGAACACAGCCCAGAGCCCCACTGTGAAAGCACAGACACCCCTGACCTCACACAGCCCCTACTGAAGTCAGGACCCAGTCACAGCATTTGCATCTAGGACTGTCAGCTTCTAGCATTAGAAGTCATCCTTTCCGCTTGCTCAGTGTGCATGTCCCTTACCTCAGGTGTCCCAAGCTGTAGAACCGGGACTCTCCATCGGTGGAGCGGACCACCTGCAGTGTGAACATAGGTTGTAGCTGCCGCAGCTCCAACAGAACGATGGCAAGGTAGTGGATGAAAAGCAGTGCATCCACAAGGGAGACTGCATATTGCACAATGTCCTTGTAATTTTGGTCTCTAGAGTCCAAAATGCGGACCCCATAAAAAAGCCAGTAAGAAACCACGAAAAGAAAGATGAGGACCAACAACAGGGCTCGGAACACAAATACCCGTGGCACATCCGCTCTTTGCTTGCGGAAGAAGAGTGCCCAGGTTCCGATGAGCAGAATAAGCAGTTTGAATGACACGGAAATGAGAAGTCCCTCACAGATGGCACCACAGGGTTTCAACTCCTCCCTCCACAGGATCGGGGGTAGCAGGATAAAGGCAATGGGGGTGAGGAACACAAGAAGTCCAAGGAATGCGGCAACAGTAAGGCCCAGATAGCGCTTGCAATCCAGTCCCACACTGTCCTCCATGTCCTTGCTAATCCTGGCAATGTCCTCTTGGGATATACTGTGCTCCGAGGTGCCTGTGATGGCTGTGGTGGTCTCTCCCCAGTTGTCATCCTGATGACAGAGAAGACAGTGAGAGTGATTTGTAAAAGCCACAATAAAATCAAACAATAAAGAAAGACAATTCAGTTATCCAACCTTCTGGAAAATGGAAATAGAATCAGCTTTTAATACAGGGGCGGTTTTAAACTTTAGTAATGTTCAGCAAAATTTTCAAAGTGTATTCTGTTTGTCCTTTGAATACAGAAAACACAATCTAACCTTTGAATTTGTTTGGGACATTCATCACTATGATACGGTGTCATCCCTCGTGTTCCGAGAAACCCAGGGGCTTGGCCTTTCTGCTATAACTTGACTAACAGTAGTTAGACTAAGCTTCAGTGAATCTTCTACAGGAGAGCACCCACTACTACACCAGTGAGCCCCCTCCCATGTGAAGTTCTAAGCTTACAATGCCCATCTAGACCCTCTAGCAGCTCTGAGGGCACAAAAAAGATTCACATCACACGAGTTGAATCACACATTATCTAAACATCTATATGACATTATAGCATTTGCCTAGGTTAAAGAGCAGTGTTAAGAACTTCTTGACATCATTTCTCATTGACTAAGGAAAAAAAATTCAAAACTCTATCTATGGCCAGATCAGCTCAAAAATTCTTTCTAAAACATGTTTTCAGGATACACTGAACAGCAATGACACAGGAAGAGTAGGGTTATTATATTTTTAACTCCATTGCTTTCTTCTTTTAAGCGTTTACGTAGTTGCTAGTGGGAGCACTCAGCCTGTTCAGTCACAATGTCTGTTAAATGCTTCTGCTGTTTCATTGACAATTAGGACTGAGGGCACAAAAGAGCCAGGAGGCACCAGAAACCATGTGAACTGCACATGTCATGATTTCACTAGGAAGACCAGTTGTATACAGTAGTCAATTGGTAGAATGAGGACATTAGCTTATGATAGATAGAGTTTTAGTATGATGAAACAGCAGCATAGACCACACTCATAACCAAACAAACCATGTTCTAACTCATATTTGGATCCTAGCAGTGAATCTTTGGAGTACCACAGAATCTGGGAGGTTAGAGAGGGACCATTGGTAGGGAGAAAGAAGAAAGATCTTAAAGGGGTGGGGCTAAAGGACAGGTGATGTGGGGGAGGTAGAAAGGGAAGTTTAAGTGGAGGAGGGTAACTACTATTTTATATACTTATAAAATATTATATTTCATAATATATACACATATACTTACACACAAGAGTTTAATTATAATCATCCTACACGGGGCATAAATCTCCTCACAGTAGCCACAGCTAACCAAATAATAAGCCCAGTGTTGGCTGTGCCCACCAGAACTTGATGGTAAGACCTTATTTTTGAAGACATCCCATTCTTTTGTGGTAGGAAATGGAAAAATCAAGTAGGCACTGACAAGGAATCTTCCTCCCCACTGGCTAGTTTGCATAGAACAGGAAGATGCTTTGCAGGCCACTGGGAAGTTGGGAGGGGGAGTCATCAATAGTCTTACTCAGCTGTGAGTTATAATAATGACCAGTGTAGGAAGAGATGCCCATGGCCACAATAGTGGCACGAATGTTATGAGGATACCAACTTCTTTCTGATTGGGTTTAAAGCCAATCTGGCCAAGAACCCATGGCTGGGGAGATCAGAGATCTCAAAGGCACACCACTTCCGTTAATCTGCTAAGGGGACATAAGATCAAGCCGCCTTCTACATTTACATCTCTCTACCTATAGGATAGTGTAGCTCTCAGACATCATCAGAAAAGCTTTCTTTGTGTAGTGGATGGCAATTAACACAGAAATTCAGAACGAGAGTAAAAACAAAAAGTGACTCGGTCACAAACCGGACGTCTGTATCACACCCCTTCTGTAGGAGGTAGGAAGCACTGTAGAAGAGAGGAAGAAGACTGGAAAAGCCAGTAGTCAGGGAGGACACGGGAAAAACTGTATCTTTGGAACATGATAGGACCCTGGACTTATGAACACACAATGGTCGTGGTTGCCTGTACAAAAGCAATTCAGTCAACATTCTTGCACAGAGAAGAGAAGGGGCTAACAGAGTCCCCGCTCCTAACTGAGGACCTATTGACAGTTAATGGATTGTGAAGGAGGGAGAGTCTGGTTTGTTTTCTTTAAAGGTTGGCCCACGGAAGGTTGACAATGCTCCAGAGGATGACTCACAGCCAACACACACTCACTAGGTAAGTTATTAATAAAAGGAGGAATTGTAGTTGGGAGGCCATGAGAAGTTGAGAGTGGATCTGGGAGAAGTCATTAGGAGGAGTGAATATGATCTAAATACATTGTATGTACATATAAAATTCTCAAAGAATTAATAAAATTGTTAATTCTTAAAAGATCAGGGCTAAGAAATGTTTTGTCATTAAAAAATCATTTAGGAACATATAAGCAATATTAGGGGTGGGCAGTAAAGACTTCAATCTAGGTACACATAGGCCATCAATTTGGGAAGTCAGATGGATAATGGAGCATGAGAGAAATAACCATAGACAATGGCTAGAAGCAGCCAGGTCCCTCAGGCACTGCTCGTGGAGGTTTAAGATGGTTTAACACTGCCAGAAAAGTGGCCTGACACTTTCACAGTGATTTAGGCACATATTTAACTATATGATCCAGCAACTAGACTCCTAGGTTTTACAAAAAGTTAATGGAACTATGTTCATAAGAGACTTATAAAAACATTCATAAGAGCTTAATCCATCATAGTTAGAATGTGTGTACCTCAAAAGTCCACTTGCCAGGAGAACAGATAACAAAACTGTGGTCAATTCAATGGAATACTGGTCAGCAAAAACATAAAGAGTGAACTGTTGAAACACACAGACCAAATATCAAAATCATCATGCTGAGTGGGGAAAAACTCATATGATTCCAATTATATTCAACTCTCCAAACAGGCAAAACCAATCCACTGAGATGGAAATCAAAATAGCAGTTGCCCTGGAGAGGTGGGGATGGAGGTTGGGATCAATTAGGAAAAACTGAGAGAATTTTCTGTGCTGAAGGGTGTGGGTTCATCTGTTGTTGAAACTATTTGATTTCTGTGTGTAAATTTAGGTCAGTTTAAAAGACAATACATCATCAAGAGAAAACAAACCACAAAGACATACAATTTGCTGTAATATAAGGTGGTTCGCAGGCTGTAGGAAACAGTTGGCTTTGTAGTAAGCAATGTCTCAGGGAAGACAAATGCTGGATTCTGTGCATGCGACTGATATCCCTGCTCAGGTAACAATTACTGATATCATGTGGACATCTTGTTGTGTAATACCACTGCTCTGACTTGGCTCTAAATCCAACTTCCTGCCAATGAGTTGCTAACTAAATCCCTGTTCATTTTAAGAACCTATGCACATCTCTGTCTAAAAAAAATAAATAAATAAATAAATAAAAGTATAGCTGTACAAAGGCTTCTCTCAAATTTGAGGTCTTCAGGGAGGTAAAAAAAAAAAAAAATCATCTGATCGGCACCAATCTAATCTCCTAGATTTGGGAACTACAAAAGCTGTAGTTCTCAAAGTTAACATGGCTGCTGAAACACACACAACCTCCAAAAGTCCTTCCCATCACACCATCCTGCTATAAGCATCAATGGCTTGCCAGAGAGCTCAGGGCACAAAAAAAGGAAACGGCTTCACTGGAGGTTACTAGCATCTCCAAATCCACTTCCGGGGGAAAGCGATCCATGAAGGATGATCCAGTTCTAAGACTGACCATATACCCTTCGAAACATACATAGATACATACAGATATGCATACATACATAAATACACACACACACACACACACACACAATTTGTACTCCTAGAATAAAAGCAAGAAACACAACAATATTAAAGAATTTGCTCACTACTGAACAAACCCCACATTCAGTGGGAAAACGTAGTTATGAGTCCAAGTCACATCTGTACCCATGAAGCGATTATAGTTTCAGTGTTCCTATCTGATTATAATGCCTATCTGTAGGTACCTACAGGTGTGCATGGGTATATGCTTATCTCTGTTTCTGTATCTTTACAGTTGTGTACATTTCTTTGTTTATGTGAGGCAAGGCTGGGCATGCAACATTTCAGATGTGGGGGTGTGCAAACATACTTCTGTGTATAGCTCAGATGTTTATTCAGATCAACTAGGCTGCCAGACAGTAAGGACTCAATGAAGATCCCATACATTTTTTCAAGTAATAAAGTATTGATATCTTAAAATGGATTGACTTCATATGAAGTCCTAATGCTAATATTTCTGAGACATGCAAGGCCTGTTAACCCTGAATTCCTTCAATCCTGAGTGGCAGTGGTCTGGAGCAGAGAAATTGCTGTCTCTTGACAGAAGAAATGCATTTTCCAGTATGCCCCAGCCCCAACATATAGGTTGACATTAAGGTATCCCAAAGACCACATCTACTAACCCTAAAGTTTGCTGGACATAGTTCTGACCCTGATCTTTGACCCTAGTTACCTCATTCATTCAGATTTCCATGCTTGCCATCTGAATGCCAGGGCCTTGATTTCTTTCATATACCCAGTTTCTGGGCTGTCTCCTCACATCAATGTCAAGCATTCCCAGGGTGTCTTTTGCCGAGGGAGTTTCTTGCCCTCTCCAGTCCCATTCCATTTTGGAATGAGTCTCCAGGGACTCTTGCCTGTAACTTTTCCCTTTTCAGACCTGTCATCAGCCAAAGCTGGCTTCTTTCCAACGTCATTAAAAAGAAGGCCAACCAATGACACTTCAGAAGGACCCCAGCTATCCAATGGTAGGACATGTTGTCCTTAGACCAGCAAGAAAACCAGAGGAGTAGAGAAACTCATTAAGATGCTGGAAAAATAAAGATTAAAAACCCAAGAGAACTTATGGCAATAAGACTTAGGAAAACGTTTGTGGAGGAGGCGGGGCTGAGTGGCAGCCTGCCCACATGGAGCCTTTGATCCTTACCTGAACTTCCTCTGTGCCAGTGGGGGCAGAGTCATTTGCCAGCAGGGGTTCTCCAGTGGGGGCCTGGATAGTGACAGACTTTTCTGACCCTCTGCCATCTTTACTTCGTGGAGATTTGTGTCTTTCTCGTGTTCTTTCCCTGGGCGGGGGGGGGGGGGGGGGGGGGGGGGAGATCCAAAAAATCAGATAAACTTTATGCCAGGTTAATTACTCTCTAACTCACCAAAGCATACATTTTATTTTGACTTTAGGAAAATTCTATGCCTTTGCCTATACCCCACCCTGAACCATACACATGGCATCCATACGTACCCATGCCCACAGCCTGCAAGGAGCAAGATTATCTTGAACTCCTCCCTATTTAGGATTTTCTTTCTGCGAATTTCACACCCAAATCAAAGACCACCACTCCTCCACCAACAATAACTGCATTTTTTTTTCAAAGTCTAATTTTAGAAATACTATGGCTGGGGCACATTTTACTATAATAATTGCTCAGTTGATCTGGTCACCATTTGCCTAAACTAATTAGGAATGCCTTTTTACCGGAAGAACACTGCATCACATCTAAACTTTGATCTGGAAAAAAAAAAAAATCTGGGACACGATGTCACCCTATACTTTGGGACAAGGAGAGAAGAAAGGAAGTCCTAAACCAGGACAGAGAATGATTTGCTTTTCATTCTTACACTTTCAACATGAAAAGCCATTCCGGTAGGTTTCGGCTGAGCTCAAAGACGTCCACACGAACAAAGAAGGTGAAACAAATGACCCTGAGGGTGTGTGTGTGTGTCTTCAGGACACTAAAGAAAAGCAGGCTTTCCACACGTTGGCTCCAGAGGAACTTTATGGGTGGTCTTCCAGAGACAGTGGGCGGACACCCCTGCTGAGTCTTAAAACTACAAAAGGAATCAGCCAGTGGCCAAGCCTAGAGGTCACAAGCTGGTCAGTGAGTAGTAAAGGAAAGTGGCTCAAAAGGAGCCCTGTAATGGCAAACACCCTTGTGTTTCTTAGGCCTCCTGTCCCCATGTGCCATTGGACAAGTCTTTCCCATAGCTGTCCTCGTGCCAGGGTTTCCCATTTTGTATGCAGAGCCAGACATCTCTCTATCTGCACATTAGATGTGTGACCCTGCACAGGGTACTTGACCTCAGCTTCCCTATGTGGGAAATGAAATGGGGGCCACGATGATGCCACACAGACAAGGGGAAGTGTATGTGCCCAGTACAGGGATGTGCGGTGAACCCCCCATATACAGTAGCCGTTAGCTAACGGCAAAGAACATTGTCTGGACCTTGTGAAGAAGTGTATGTTATCCCGGAGAAAGGGGAGTAAAAGAGCCATGAGCACACTGCCAAGCACTCTTCTGCACTACACATCTATCTCTTATCAACCTACTACTTAGCAACAACAAAACTCTAAAACAAAACAACTGAATGGCAGATCTCTTGCCAGACTCCTATCTTGGGAACCTCTCCCTTGGATAAGCAGTGGATAATTCCTCCAAGGAACAAAGGGTTTCCCATGGTAGACAGTTTCTTAGTTACAACAGCTCCATTCTTAGCCCATTAAATAGCAATAGATGTGCTCTGGTTAGCTGTGTGTGGTTTGAGACAGGCAGCCAAATAAGCAGAGAATCTAGCTGGTCATCCAGAGCTATAGCCAGTGATTTCAATTTCCCCTTCTCTGGCCCATTCACAGAGCACTTGGCTGAATGCTTGACTGGATTAGCTCTATACAATTTTAACAAATAGCTCTGAGGCCAGTATTACTGACCCATTTCACAGATGAGAAAACCTAGGCTCACGGAGTTTAAATGCCTTCCAGAAGTTGTAGTAAGGAGCAGAACAGGAACTGAAGCCAAATCTGCTGCTATTGCTTCTATTCAAAGCCACTATGTTATACCGCTTTTGAGGAACAATTAGATTTTTTTTTTTTTAAAAAAAATAGCATATATAACTATATAAAACAATAGAATTTTACTATGACACTTTCCATACATGAAGATAATGTACTTTAATCATGTTCACCCCCTTTTATCTTCTTTCCTCCTCCCCACTGGTCTCCTTCCTTTTCCTAAATATCCAAAATCAGGCAATTTTATGGAGTAAATGTTTCCTAGCACTCATGTTCACACACCCTTGCAGTCACACTGCTAGCGTTACGAAGCAGGCCTCTGAAGCTAACATTGGTAGTCACCGTTGGCTGTGACCATCAGTAGCCTTAGTTGTGTGCTCTGGGTTGCCCAATCTCAGCACTCCAAGAGGCATTCTCTGCGAGCAACATTGAGCAGTGTGGGAGATTGCTGCTTTCCTAGTTTGGTCAGTCTTCAGAATGAACTGTAGGCTAGGTCTAGTGCTGCTACTCCACCAGGTCACTCCTGCATCCAGCTGGATGGCCCCAGGGTGATTCCATCCCCTTCGGGTCCCCTACTGCTCTTCTGTTTATCACTCTCTTGTTGGCCTGCAGTCAGTCACATGCTTATCTAACCTGGCTCTCTATTGAAAAATTTCACAGGTCAAATCCTGTGCCAGAAAAGACTCTTCTGGAACCAAACCCGTTCACTTCCTGCTAGCTTCTGGTCCTCGAACAAGACCAGGGCTGAAGGCTGATGGAACCTGACCAGGACTGAAAAAGACCATACCATACTCCTCTCCCTGGACCTCCTAGCTGGGCTCTTAAAGGCCCCCAAGGGCACCGACATGGGAACAACCAGTGTCTAGGCAACTCTGTCTCACAACTCCCTAGATAACTCAGGAAGTGAGTGCACCAGGTAAGAACTTATTGTCTAGTAGCCCAAGGAGCCCTCCATCCACCAGCACCTGCCACTCTACACCAGCATCTCTCATTTCTCACACCCCTTGTGCAGACAAGCCGCTATGGGCGCAAGAGACTGGGTGGCCCTGCCCTCAGAGAATCTGTCTGCAAGAGAGACAATAGGAATCTACATTTTTCTCACCAGCACCCCAGGCCATCAGGATGCAGATGATGCAAGGATTATTTCCAAAGACTTTCCCACCCTATGTTTCTGGAGAGACTGTGGAAATTCCTACTTAGAAGTCTGTGTATTTGTGAAAAGCCTTGTGAATGGCAGGGGATCAAAACCATGGGTGTTTGGTTGTGTAGTGCTATAACACACAGTACATCTTTATTAAAATAGTGGGGCTGAAGAGATGGCTCAGCAGTTAAGAGTACTTACTGCTCTCCCAGAGGATCTGAGTTCTATTCCCAGCACCCATATAGAGAGGCTGGCAAACACCTGTAACTCCAGCTCCTGAATTCTATGAGCCCCTGAAGACACTCACACAGACATAGACTAACAAATCTTTTTATTTTGGTATTGCATGGGTGAGGATAGCACATAGTCCCGACTAAGGGCTACCCAGAATTAGGGACAAGTGAGCTAGCTGCTTCTTGTATTGGTCTCACCGTAGAAGGGAGTAAGACACACCACATGGCAGTTACAGAAATCACTGCTGCTAGTTACTGCTCTGGGCAGCTCTCCAAGCCAAGCCAGGACTTAAGAGTGATGTCCAAGAAAAACACAGTTGGTCATCCACCCAGCGCTTTCTAGTTTGCAAAACTACAGAGCTCTCAGAGGTCATTTCACTGCGGAATATACCTAAACACTCATCTCTGTAGCCCTAGAGGCACTGACAGGAACGGAGATGTGCTAGGCTAGCATTACTGAAGCCCTGCATTCAATCCCTAGCACCACATGAACCAGACATAATGGCATACACCTGTGACCCTTGGTGACAGACAGAATTTGAGGCCAGCGAACACGGATGTTGTAACTTTGACAGACATCTATCTGTGGCTGCCCATTATCCTGGAAGACAGTTCCCCAATGATGAAGATGAGTCAAAGAGTATAGGAGTAAGTGTGTGTGTGTGTGTGTGTGATAAATGGTTTACAAAACCTATAAATGGAACATTAAGACACAGTCGAGATTTAACTACCTGAGTGGTCAGGATCACCTGAGGGCTCTTGGACAGCCTCATCACCCACAGGAATCTGTGTCTTTATCTCTAAATCTGTCTTCCTGCTTTCTTGGCCCACAGGAGTAAAGATAAGTCTGTCAGTGCAAAGATAAGTGTATCCATGCACTGTAGGTACACATGCATGAGCGGGTGGGAAGAGCAAGCGGCAGCATGCGAGAGGCAACCATGTGTGAAGCCAAATGCATCATCATTTAGGCAATTTGCTAGCTGAGTCCTGGGGAGCTCTGTAACCCCCTCAGTCTAGCCAGAATGCCTGAAATTCCCACACTGTCCCTACTTACAGTCAGTGTATTTCCTGGGAAGGCTATTTCCTCCTGTTCTGTTTCTAAATGGGGAAAGCCATCCCACCGGTTACTCCTCCCTTTCCTCTCTGCCACCACCCACCCACTCACTACCTATCCTCTGCCTATGGACTGCTAGGCCTGCTGTGGGAGGAGAACAAACAGGCATGGTAGAGCCTTGCCACTGCCTGGGCAGCCCATTAGAACAATGCATTTTAACACATTAGTCACACTTTCCTTTCAAAGCTGACATTCTCTTCCAAAGGACCAACATGCCTGGAACTTGCCAAGTGGTTCTGCTTGCCTGGCGGTATTTGGTAACCATGTTCCTCTCTGTGGCTCAGCTTCACCACCTGTAAGAGTTTCCCCAACCCCCACTATTCTAGGACTGCTGAAAGCATGGAAGAGGGTGATCTTGCAGGTCCTCTCAAAATGATGCTTAATGTTCCCGGCAGCTGCTGGTATCAGGAGCCCCACAGGTTAAACGAGGTTGGCTATAGTCTGTACTACTCCCTCAACAAGCTAACTGGACAGTCTCTGGAGACAGCAGGAATCAGTGATCTCTTTGTCAGAAAACGGGCTTGGACAGCAGCCAATCCTCCAAGACCATCAGTGTCATCAGGCACTTCATTATTCCTTTCTGAGTGGGAGCTGCGCTAAAATTACCAAAAGACGAAGTCCCTTTCTTTTCCTACTCCTCCATTTAAACTCCCCACAAATCATGGAGCAGAGAAACCTTTTACAGGACACTCCTGGGACAAGAAATGCCGGCGGCAGCCAGCTCTCATACCTGTGGAGGGCTCCTTCACTGTTAGACATTTCTCCTCACCCTGGCTGTGAATTATAAACTTTGCCCCAAGGTTCCTACGACCTCTGAGGTCCTCCCTCACACAATACAGGGGGTGGGGCTTCAGAGACCTACTAAGTGTACTTACACAGCCCTGCAATTCAAACCCCTCACTGGGCTCCATTCAGCAATATTCCCTGATCGACTGTTGGGAAGCAGAGCTCCGCTCAGCCCTCCCAGTAGGCATTCCACAGTGTCCCTTGATCAATTGATTAAAAGCCTCAGCTCCAGCTCGCATTTGCCAAGTACTTTCCACAAGGGATCAAGAAAGAACTAAGTGTTCTACATGTCATCTTAATTGGAAGTTATAGTCTCTTAGAGTTCCCATAACAGTACTAGAGAATCCATTTCTGGGACCCCAAGAGGCCTGGGGAAGCAGCAGCATGCAGGACTGGCCTTGAAGTGTATGCATCTTGGTGGGCATGCAGACAAAAGGAACAGAGCTGGCTCCATTCAGAATTTCACAAGCCATCCTCTCCTGCTCACCCTCAAGCGCCAAAGAAACCCCAATACCATACCATATGGAAGGGAGCCTGACACCCCAAGGACCCAGCTGCTTTTGCCAGTTAGGTCCAAAAAGCAGATATTTGAAAACAGCTCTTTCTGGTATTTTATAACAAATCTGTTAAGTTCACCCACTGATCATTATCTGTGACGATTCTTAAAACCAGTGTGTGGGGGGGGGCTCTGACTTTCTCAGGAGCTGGGCTGTAGACTGTCACCCCCAAAGCATCCACATCAAGTGTCTTTGCTCCTCACTGGGAAGGAGAGCTGGGCTCCAGCACAGGGAACTCCACAAACAATGCAGGCATATTTAGAAAGTAGAGCAGTTTTAAAAGAAGAACCACCCAGAAGCCCATTTCCTTAAAATAATGTGAGCATCATCTTTGAAAAGCTTTCCTTTATACTTTTATTCTATTTATTTATTTATTTATTTATTTATTTATTTATTTATTTATTTATCTATTTATCTATCTATCTTTGACAGGATCTCACTAAGTAGCCCTGCCTGGCCTGGAACTTGCTACTTGTTTTGTAGAACAGGCTGGCCTCCAACTCGCATAGATCTGCTTGCCTCTGGCCCCTAAGTGCTAGGATTAAAGGCCCCTGCTCCCTTATCTGGCCTCCATTCACTTTTTTTTTTTTTTTAATAAAAACTACAAAAACAGGAATCTGTACAGAAAAACAAAGTTTAAGTGGATAACTCCCCACCTACCAGTCACTCCTGCCAAGAACCCCCTCCCTGAGGATGCCACTCCTAGCAGCTTGGAAGACACTTGAAGGCTTCTTTCCAGGTGTGGCCATCCACACAGGACCCGTGAAACACATATCCTAATCTGAGATCTCACTCTGGGAACAGTTACTTATTCAGTGATCTGTTTGGTGAGAGACGCAAACACTGGGACAGTAACCATTCCATACCACACACAGCTGCGGCCACCACCGTGGGCCTCTGCACTAGTGTCAGATGTCACTTTGAACACGGGTGCAGACATACCAAGACTGTAAACAGCACTGACACAGCTACTAGTGAGAGCCCTCCTACCATGGGCTGAGCTAGTCATTTTCCATATATGCGTATGCCATTCGGCTCTCATTCTATCTAGGAGGAGATCCCCATTCCCATTTCACAGAGGAGGAGACACCTCACCAGCTGCATTCTTACCCGGTGTGGTACAATACCACCCATTTCATCATTTATCTGTTCATCTATGTATCCCTCCACTCAGCAAGTATTCTGCAGGTCAGAATGCATACGGCCCTCTGAAGATCAGTGTAGGCTGTTGCGATCAGTGGCCCCACCACTCAGGACAGTGTTTGCAAACCCTGAGCTTGTTCACTTGGAAGACCAGTCAAAGAGAAATCAGATGCCAGACCAATTGCACCCCTGTGCGGGTTTGGGTGGGTCGGGGTGTGGGGTGGATGTGCACCCCTCCCCCACCATGCCCCAGATAGCCTCAGGGCAGATGCTTAATGGCCTGTGAGTCAGCAGCTCCGGGTGAAGAAACACATTAACACCTGCTTTTTAACTTTCATTTACAGAATTGGTAAAGCTCAGGGAGAACTTTACATTGATGAGAAGTACTTAGAAATGAGAAACATTTCCAATGGCTGGGAAAACTTTAATTTAAAACCAATTGTGAGGAATTAAGGTCATCAACTCTAATGGCGGCTATAAAATGTAAATTGGCAGTGTAGTGACTCCCCGAGCATATCAACCATTCTTGCAGCTTGGCTTCTCCGCACCAGTAGACTGATCCCTCAGCATCCTTGTTCCTTCGGGCGGTCTGTTGAAAACTTGGTTCTCTAACAGAAAGCCCTACCCACCTGCAGGTCTTCCCACAGATTCTTTGCTTACATACCCTTGCCTGTGAGATTTTTTTGAATGGCTTGAGTAGTAGGAATATCCAGAATACGTGGATTCGGTATCCATAGCAATGGTGAGCTTCCTCTGATGATGCAGCAGGCACTGTTTTCCCACGGGCAGCCTCACCTACTAGCTCCTAAAGCCTTGTGGGGCTCAGAGTTGCTACTCTTCAACAGGACTCTGGGAGGGGGAGAAAAAGAATAGATTAATTCTCAACATCAAGGGCCAAAACATAAAACAACAACAGACAACTCTCCTCTGAGGTCCCTGTTATGCAACACGGGGTCAGTATAAAACTCAAACCTCCAAAGGTGCCACTCGCCAAGGAACAAGCTTTGCAGATGTCGGAGAGGCAAGGGGCGATGAGCATGCTGGACCCCATCACAACAGAAGGAAGAAGGTTTGGGAAAATCCTGGGCATTGAGATATGTATTTCTCATGGCTTTGGCTGTAGGAACTTCTTCTCACACCAGCCCCCAGACAAATGTCTACCCCACCCCCAACTGTCAGTCATAAAAACAACATCCAGGAAGATCACTGATTCAGCACTTTGGCCATCATTTCCAAAAGTCAATTAAAGTTTTTTTCTTGGTCTCTTTGAGAATCCCAACTCCTAGAAATTTATCTTAGTAATTAAAAATCAACAACCACCACGACTGCCTTGCTGCCTATGATAATAAAAAGCTAGAAGCAGTGTAAATGCCTCCCCAAGCCAAGGAATAGCCAGGGGGAAATACGATCCAGCCAGTCAAAGAAAATATCATGTATCTGCATAAAATGACACTTATGCAGAATGGAGATTTCAATAAGCCAGCAAGGGGATTGCAGGCAGCTGATAAGCTGCACAACTGTCACAATGGTGTGAAATAACTTACAGAGCGGCAGGGACTGAGACAGGGGGACATCAGAAAAGTTGATTTATTAGTTGCAAGGTCCTAGGTCCTTTCCCACTTCCCTCAAATATTGCTCTGCAATAAAAATAAATTGGAAACACTTCCAAGCACATTCCTGAGCCTGCACATGCTCGGTCTTCACTCCTAGAAAGGCGGGTCTAAAGTTCTGCCTCTTAGAGCACCCCTCTCCCAGGCCTGGTCTAGGCTCAATAGGGCTTCCCACCCTGCAGTGTCCTGGAGGCTCAAACTGCAAACACAGCCAGTGAGATAAGCTGAAGCAAACAACAGAGTTGTACAGGCCCCACCCTGGCCATAGCAGGGGGAGGTCCAGGCTCCCAGACCCCAGCAACAGCTAAGACTGGGAGAAATTTCGAACTGGGAGCATTAACCGGGCCTGGAAGTCACATCGACACACAGTCACACTGGCCCAGAGCCTAGAAGTGGCACTCTGTTACTTCCAAGATGGAAGGAAAATTCTTTCTAAAGAGACCCTATGCCTAGGGGTTACCGGCCTTGTCCTAGAGGTCTCCACTCACCATTTCACTAGGGATTGATCTCAAAGTACTAATTTCAAGGGGAAAAAAAGTATATCCTCACTGTCTAATACGATTAAAAGCTAAACATTATAAAAATGTCCCCCAAATCAAGGAACAAGTAGGGAGCACATGGTTCAGTTACCCCAAATTAGCACATATCTGTAGGAACTGGTAATCATGGAGTCAAACCCCAGGGCCACTCCTTGCCCGCCCCCCCCCCCCTCTCCATGCCTTGCTCACTGCACTGACTCATCCATTTCACACCCACATTAATAAGCAGGCTGGTGACCCTGCTCAGGAGTGGATGACAGAGAACCTACTGCCTTCCCTGGCCCTGCTGGTGGCTGCTCTCCCAATGGAGGCCCCTGGTAGCACTCCTTCCCCAATACTTGGTCCTCTTTCCTCATATCAGCCTAGTCATGGGGAAGCATGCAGTCCAGCCCTTGCTTAGCCACCTGCAATCAGCCCCTTCCTTGCCTTCTGGACTCTCAATCTGCTCACTTGTCAATCAGGGATCAATGAACCAGCCACAATCTCCCAGAGCGAAGCTATAAACAGACACAGACTTCCTAGCTGCAGGACCTCAAATGATGAAACCTCTTTGAAGTCCCATCTACAAAATTCGACCATCAGGAGTGCTTTGATGACTATATGAGCTGACAGTGGTGACAGAGCCCAGCGTGGGCACCAGATGCGCTGGCTAAGTAAAACTGGGTGGCCCCGAGTGCTCCCTTCCGTGGTTTCTAAACTCCACAATCTCCTTGCCTTTCTCGGCAAGAGCAGAGGGCAGCAGGGCAACTGGCCAGCACCTCCCTTTAGGCTACCCACCCAAGGCTCACCTGCTGTAGGAAGAAGGGGCTGCCCCTCTGGCTGCCTGCTTTCTCGCCAGCTGTGTACTGGAACAAGGCAAGTTTAACCTCGGGACTATGGGTTTCCTACCAAGTAAAAGGAAGTCAAGCAGCCTGCTTGGGAGGAAGGGGGTGATTGAAAAGACTAAACATGAAATCAATCAGGCATCTCTCAAAACATTAGCTGGACTCCTGGGCTGAGGGCCCATCTTTTCTCCCCCTACTGTCTCCCATGGTTTTCACCAGCCGGGCAATAAGCTTTCCGCACTCTGGAGTCCTCCCTTCCTTCCTGCTCTGAGCTATGTTCCGTTCGCACTGTCTGTCTGGATGACAGACAAGCGACCTTAGGAGGCACGGACAGGACGGGGAACCTAGCATGAACCAACCAATCCCCTTTCCTTGATAGCTGCTGGCCCAGCTCTCTGTTGACCTGAAGATTCCAAGGTTTGGCACCTTGGTCAGAAAACTGCCCATTCTTCTTTAGATTCATAATTAACCCCCCTCTTCCTGACACTTGCTTCTTCTGCCTTCCAGCCTGACTCTCCATTCTCTCTAACTTCTGATTTCTCACCAGCTATGAAGGAGCATGGCAGAGGAAGGTTTAGCCCTAAACCAGCACACTGCAACTTTTTCTGTGTTCGCACTGCTGTTATACCTCAGGGCAAGTACTTCTGTTCTGTCCCACACCCAAGTCCTCAGTAAAATGACATCATTAATATTCCCTTCCCAAGGTTATTAGGAGGCTTAATCAAGACTCCTGAGGAATGATCTCTAGCATATAGAACCCTTCCCCCTCCGCTAAAGGTCATCATTGTTTGTCCTCATTAAAATGTGGACCATCCATTAAGGCAACTCCAGGCATGTCCCTCAAAGGAAATCACAGCTACCAACAACCCTCTGGGAAAAGCCTTTTCCTAACTCTACCAACTACCCTTGCCCAGGTTCTCTCCAAAGAGGGGAATCTTGTATGAGACGCCCCCTGCCCCACTGCCATCGCCACTAAATCCTTCATTCTTCTCCCTCTACTGAAGAAACTCTAAGTTGGCCAGAGACTGCCTTGAGCCAAATCCAAAGGTCACATCCTTGCTCCCTTTCTCCAGGCCCATCTTACCCCATTGCTTTCCCTTCATACTTCATGAGTAGCCACCAGACCCTGCTCAGCAATGATAGAGAGATGGCTTCAATAGGGGCACACCCCTGCCCCACGCTCGCTGAGCTTCTCTGACGTCTAGCTTCTAGCCTGATGGCACTAATGCTGTTCCTTCTCCTCTAACACTCCTTCCTCCATCTGCTTATCAGGTTTCCCCTTAACACTCAAAGCTCACCCCGATACTCTTTTCCATCTCTGGAGATAAACTCCTCAGTGTCGGAAGCAATGGTCGCCTCCCCAAATATTATGAACACTTCCAGAAAAATAAACGAAATGCTCCTTTCCCGCCCGCTCATGCAGCTCTTGCCCACTGATGCACTCTGCTGTCCTGGCTTAGTTTTTCCACCATCCTGTCGGTGATGCTGCCATCCTAGCCAGTAGATGGACCACTCTATGCTGCTCTCTCGAATCCATCCATGCATCCCACCGCCACCAAGCCCAGCTTGTCCTCAGGTCCTCCCCATCCTCTCCCAGCTCCCAGCAGCAGAAAGCTAACGTAGAGAATATCTCCAAGTTTTCTCACCTGACCCAGCCCACAATGAGCCTGGCCCTCCTGAGTCTCTGCTTTCACCATGGTTACCAACTCTTGCCTCACCTAAGATCTGAGTGAGCAGTCAGGAAGTAAGCTAATAAAAGGCAGAGTGAACTCCTTCCACAAAAGGGCTTGACCTCAGGCAGGGGCTCCCATTTGAGTTAATAAAGACACAAATCCTACTGCTAATCTCTGTAAAGATGTACATACAAGGAATTAACAAAATGTATGACAAGGCCAGAAGCCTTTATCAGCAAAGACAATAAAGGAAAAGAAATCCCTTTCTCTGGGTAGCAATGAGTGGTTGCTATGTCCAGAATGGGATAGAAGCAAGTAGGCGTGTACATAGGAAATCCTTGAACCTGCATCTGTCTATCATACTGGCCCGTGACAGGACCGGTATTGTGTTTGGTCCAGGCAGGGTAGCAGCTAGGCTGACCTCACCCTTGCTGTGGCGTTCCCTAAACTTTAAAACACAGAATCTTGGTCATCAACAGTCTTGCCAGCTGTTCCAGTTCCTCTGGGGCCTGGTTCTTCCCAGCCTCGGGACCTTAGTAGAGCCCAGTTTATCTACTAGGACTCAATCTCTTCACATGCACCATTTTGGCTAATCCCTCTCACTTCTTTGGAGAGATCATGTTGACTCTCCAGTCCACACCTGGCCAGCCCACCACCTGCATTCTTCCTACAGGTCTCCCAAGTCACACTGTGTGACTACTGAACATCAGGCTCCTGGGGTGCCAGAACCACATGCCTTACCACCTCCCCTGCTGCTGGCAAACAAGAGGCACCTAGTAAATATTTAGTAAATATAAATGAATGAAAATCTCCTGAGATGTGCCTATCTCAGGACATGGAGGCACACCTTCATCATAAAAGAAAGTTTGCTGAGAGTAGATGAAATGGAGATTCTGGAACTATTCCTTGACCAGCACCGCGGTTTTCAGCTACTATCCAAGAGCATCCTGCTCCAGTTTGGGCCAGCGTACATACTCCAAACCAATGGGCCTGGGGAACGTTGCGGAGACAGCAGCATCTTACAGTGTGTAATGACCTTCCCCTACCACCCTGAACTAAAATAAGGTGAAAGTCACTGACCTCAAGGAGAATCTCCCCTAAAGTCATATTTACTCCTATAAAATACAAGACTCCAACTTGAAAGAAAGACAATGCTCGGGGGGGGGAAAATCATATAAGGCAAATAATAGGTTACGATAATGAGCATGGTAAATATAAGCCAACGTTTATGAAAAGGAAGTTATAAAAACATCAACAGCTCTACCCAGAATGATTAATTAAAGGGGCTCTGCTTGTGAATGTAGAAAGCTGCTGCACAGGGGTCCAGAGAGTAGCCTGTGTGGGTTCACTTGGAGACTCTCAGGTTCAGAAGGATGGTGCACAGGGGTGTGACAAAGCCTATAAGACAGTTTGCTAAACTTGCACCTGTAAATCATAAAACAATATCCAAGTCTGTGACATGAGGTTCTGCATGGCACCTGTGACAAATCAATGACCCTCTTCCAGCAACAGAACTCTTCAAAATGTATGGCTATCGGTCACTGTTCACCAGGAAAGAAATGCCAGCCTCAAGTTACCTGGCTGCCAGAGTTCAACTCACATCCCCAGAGTAACTGCCATTGATTGAGCCATTAATTACCTCTGGAACATTCCTGACGGCTGGATACAGATAGCTGAAGAGCTGTGAATAGTTACTGTATCTTTTCAAGCAAACACTTGTCCCCTAGTAGATTTTGAAGCTCCAGAGACAGATCTGATGCCCACCATGTATTCCATGCTGCCAGGTCCAGGGCTCTAAGTGGGATTGGGCTTGGGGGTGGGGGATGGGTAGGACTGAGCAGCAGAGGTTGTGGGCAGCTTTTCTTCTGACTCCAGGAGGACCTAGACAGCTATCAGAAACAGTCTAGCCATAGGCACTGAATCTTGCCCTCCTTAAGGAAAGCCTCAGAACAATCATGCCTGTGTGCAGCAGGGACTCTGGGCACAGTCACTTCACTCCACAGAAATGATGGCAGTTCCACTCTGACATCAAGTGCTTACTGTGTGTTAAGACTGAAGTCACTTGTATGAAATATCTCAGTCCTCAGAACAAGCCTTTAAGGGGGAAAAATAGAATGTTACAGAATGTTAGTGTAGTTAAGGAAATAAGATCTCCCCCCCCACCCCCATGCACGTGCCCCAGTAGGAGCTTGAACTTCAGGAGATTGGTTTCAGAGAGCCAAGGAAAACTGAAAGCTATGTACAAATTACCAGAATTGTTTGTTTACTTAGAGAAGACAACAACAGCGAATTGTTCCAAACCACATTTAACCTCACAAAGAATCCTGCAGTTCAACTCCTACTCATAGGCTCAGTAGAAGGGAGTAGGGGAACTTTGAGGAGTATGGAAATTAATCTCAAACAGCCTCCATCCCAGGTAAGATCTCTGATTATCAATCAGTGTGATCAGGGCCCATCCAACCCAAACTACAGCAGAGGCAAAGCAGGGTCAGGGGGACAAACAAGAGAGTATTTGCTACATTCAACACATTAATTCTTCAACAGAGGGTGTCATGGAATTGTTGCTTGGTAAGGAAACTTCAATTTCCTGTATGGTTCCTTCCTGTTGCTCAATAAATAAGACAATAAAAAACGAGACTTGGCAAGCAGTCTTAAAAATATGACACTCACAGTTCTCCCACTTTACTTACAAATTAAATAGCCACCAAGTCACACAGTCAGCACTGCAACCCTGAAGATTTCACACTGGGTGTTTTGGCCAATCATTCTGGGAGTCGCCAACCTTTGGAAATGCTAAATGCTCCTGGATATTTCTTTGAAATGTAGAATAAAACAGTTTCTTCCCACACATCAAAGCCCCTACTATATCACACTGATTTAATTCAATTCTAAAAACTCTAATTAGTGGTTACATAAAATGGCTAATTATGCCTCCCTGGGTTCAGACAGTTTCTGCCATCTCAGTTACAGAGCCTAGGAGCTGTGTAATCAACACACCCACTGGAAGGAGAAGGCTAATTAGCATTGTTGATTGGTGACACAACTTATAATATTTTTCAGCAAACCCTGAAAAATGTATAAACATATCTTCACAGATTACTAGCTTTTGGAATTAGCCTGTAAGACCGCATGCATCCTGACCATAGTCCTCTCAAAGGGCTTTTAACAAAACGCACGCTCCAGCCATATAATCATCAAGATAAATAGCCCTGGCACCTCCCCATGAGCTTCAGAAGGAGCTCACCTTCCCGGTATGGGCATCACACCGGGTCTGGAGAAGTGAAAACTGAGATTGCCCGGCTCCAAGGCTCCAAGTTTCCCCTGCTCATCATCGAGCCGCCAGGCTGCGGCTCCACCCCACTCCTGCTTCCAACACCGACGCTTTTAAATTTTTATAAAGCTTCACACTTCTCTGGGCGCGTTGCTTGGGGGCAGATCAATGGCTGCGGGATGAAATGAGCTCCTACCGGTGCTGCCCGGGCGCGGCGAGGTTCCCCGGGACAGGGACTCCTCCTCCGGCTGGGACTGGCTGCACTCCTCTGCTCCGCCCCGGCGCTTTTGAAAGTAAACTCCTACCTGCCTGTTGCGCTCCGCGATGCGCAGCGGGCCGCGCCCCCCCAGGCCTCCCCGGCTGCGGTTTTGTAAACGAAATATAAAACACAAGCCAGCTCCGTACCGGTGCCCAAAGCCCAGCCAGGTGACCCCGGGTCCTGACGTGGACCCCGATCGCGTCCTGTCCCAATGCGGCACAAATTGCCGCCCTCTGCCTCGGACAAGCCGTCATTCCCGATCGTCGCCTCGGCACACGCACCCAGGGGCGCACTCCAAAAGCCAGCCAAGGCAAAGGGGCTTCCAAGGTAGCTCAGGCAGCCCCAGAACTCGGAGCAGTTGGATGGGACGGAGAGAGCCCAGGGTAGGGATGGAACGACCCGGGTGCCAGGAAGCGCGACCCGAAGGGGCCCGGGGGCTCCCGGCTCGAGGCCACGAACCTCGATCGGAGTGCCGGGGAGCAGGGACAAGCGCAGTTGGGCCTGACCTCCCGCCCAACTCATTCCCCGGCCGCCGCGCCGCGCCCACCTCTCCCGGGACTCACCCAGGCGCCGGTCCGCCGCGCTCCACGCTCGCGCTCTTGGGTGCAGCGCCCCGGCTCCGCGGCCTGCGCTGGGCTGCAGTGGAGGCACAGCCCCGCCGCGGTCGCCGCTCTCTGCTGCTTTCCGCTTCCTGTCCCGGCGCCGCCCCGCAGCCCCAGCCCAGCCCTGCTAGCCTGGAGAGGCGGCCAGCCAAGAGCTGCAAGCGCTGCGGCCCCCACAGCCAGGCCGGCCCACCTGCAGCAGAGGGCGGGGCGGGTCTCCCAGGTCTCACACACACACTCACACACTCATTCACTCTCTCTCTCCCTCTCTCTCTCACACACACAAAATTGCATGACCCGGGGTTACTGTCTCCCCACCAAACACCCCAACATACCTCCAAGGTTCTCTCCCCCCCACACACACACACACTCAACACACAAAATTGCATGACCCAGGGGTTAATGTCTGCCCACCAAACAATCCAACATACCTCCAAGTCTCTCTCTCTCTCTCTCTCTCTCTCTCTCTCTCTCTCTCTCTCTCTCTCTCTCTCCCTCTCCCTCTCCCTCTCCCTCTCCCTCTCTCTCTCTCTCTCTCTCTCTCTCTCTCTCTCTCTCTCTCTCTCTCTCTCTCTTACAATTGTGCATAAAGTCAAGCCCTCTCGTTGTTTGCCATCATCAAGGCTTCAATCCACATATTCACGCAATCCGAGAACCAATATCTCCCCCTCCCCCCAACTCATACATATTGCAGCTCACATGACACACTTAAACTCCAATGTAGTCCAAGAGATGACCCAACCAATAACCACAAACGCCCACACCCCTATAACAGCTCCTCTCTGCCCATCCCCTACCAGAGCGGGCATGCCTCTACTCTCCTGGTCTACTGGAAACTGGCATCTCTAAAGGCAGGGAGCCAAAAGTTCCCAGCTATTAAGACCACTTCCCTTGCTGAGCCTCCTTGTGTTGTGTGGACAGTGGTAAGGATGCTAATGTTGACCTTGGAGGGTTGTAGTGAGAATTCTAGAAAGTGCTGAGCAGTTGGGTAACTGTTTTTATGAATATTTGCACCCTTCTTTCTTAGTTTTAATGGAATCCGTGCTCAGAATGACAGATCTACTGCTGCCATGACGAAATACTAGTGAGAGGGCATGCACAGCAGGAAGTGCTGAGTTTGCAGTTTGTCTGCAGGAATGCTAGGAGTGATTTGGCTTGGGGAATTCAGGCTTCCTCAGCCTTCTTCAGGAACCTGTAGCCTCAAGAAGCCCTTACTCCTCACTGTCCACTTTTTCCTATACCTCTGTACCCCATTTCCCCTACCATACATGCCACCTCCTTCCAAGTACACCCAGATGGTCAAGGCAGCTGATTTTCCCCACTCATTGACACCAGACTCCACTGTCCCCAGTCTCACTTACCAGAACCCCAGCCTCTAAATGACTCCAGATACTAGCTCAAGACCCCAGCAACCTGATTCCAGGTAAAGCTGTCTGTCTGTCCAACATGATAGCTGCTCAGATAGGTAGAGAACTCTGGAAATTGAATATCATTCATCTTAACATTTAGAACCTTCCATATTAAAGCAGGACAAAGCATCCCAGGTCAGGTGTGAGGTTCCAGAGGAGCCCTCTGTAGTATGAAGAGCCACGATGAATTTTCATGGAGTGTAATTCCAGTTCACTTTAGGTGATTAGGTCGAATAACCTTATGATAGGAGGCTTTGTGGTGGGGGGTGAGAAGGATAGTCCAAAATAAATGATTGTAAGTAATTAATCCACCTTGTGCCATTTGTTTTTGCCCAGCAACCTTGAGTTTCAGAGTTGAAAAGCTCGTCTGAAGATGCTCAGACACTGAGTGGCAGTTCACAGGACCAACTATAACCCTCGAGCAAGCCAAGCCACTTGTGGCAGAGCTATTCAGTGCCACTGGCCTTTCATCTGAAGGTGTCTCCTCCAGTTTTACCTTCATCAATAATGAAGGTGACACTGTGGGCACCATCTGTGACTCTTTTGTCTTGCTAATCTGTTTATTCCAAACTGAACAGGGGAAGAGAGACACTATGTATTGGTTGTTCTCAGAACTTCAGCCTAACTACATTCCATACATGCAGCACCTGCATTTCCTTCTTCTTCTCTTATGTTTGCCTTCCCAAGGCTTGTAGTGCTGTTACCTGCTGTGACCTGTCAACCAAAACCCACCTGTAAAGTGACAAAACTTTTTTTTAGGGAGATGCAACACATGTCTACTCAGCCCAAACAGGGAACAGACCAAAGCATGGATACCATGAAGTCCAGCTTGCTGAGCCAATGGGTTGTATTGGGGTTGCTTACAGGAGTATGGATGGAGGATACTTACTGAAGCAGAAATGACTGGAAGACAGCTGCATCACTGAAGCCCACCCCAGCATGAGTGGCAGGTCACAAAGGTGGGACATTTGGATCACACTGCACAGCCTGCAGACAGCTCACCAGGCTGGAGAGCGTCCTTTCCAGGGGCCCCAATCTAAACCTCATCCAGGCTGCTCAGCTGACTTCTTCTTCTTCCAGGCTACAGGTCTGGTCTCAGTCTCTTCTTTGCAGCTGGCATTCTTCCTCTGAGGAGGACTCTCAACTCTATTGCTTACTCTGACAGGGAGGGACCTAGTGAATCTGATCGATTTCAGGGACTTCCTGAAACTATTTTGAATTATGAACCTTCCTGCTTACGGGGATTTCCTAAAGGATGGGATGTTTCAATGCCAGAGGAAACTTACCTAACACCAACTCAAATCCCTGGCTATAGAAAACCTTATCTAGTTCTAACCAGCATGTAGTCTCTTCTCTGTTACCACTTCTCAAGCACTCGGGCTTCTTTTATTTGTTGGTTTTTTGGAGACAGGGTCAGCTCAGGATGCCCTTAAATGCCTGATCTTGTTTTCCTCACCTCCTGGGTTCTGGGATTACAGGTGTGTGTGCCACCACAGCCAGCCCTTCCCCACCCCATCACAGACCTTCCCACATAGTTTGCGTTTAATTTTATTATTACTTTTGAAATTCCTTTTAATTACAGGTGTGAGTGTGTGTGTGTGTGTGTGTGTGTGTGTGTGTGTGTGTGTGTGACAGCTGGGGTGGGGGAATGTCCACCTGTGAATGCAGGTGTCATAGGGTTCCAGAAGAGGGTGTTAGATTCCTTGGAGCTGGAGTTACGGGTGGTGGTGATCCACCCTACATGGGTGCTGGGAAATTAACTCTGGTCCCCTGTGAAAGTAGTATGTGTATGCTCTTAGCTGGGCAGCTATCTCTCCAGACCAAATTCTTGCTTTCCTATAAATAGCAGCGTGTGACTATCATGAATTCTTACTCTTGAGAAGTTAATAGGGTAAGCAGGGAACAATTGACTGAAAAATCCATATTGGTTAGTTAGCAGCGGCAGGAGATGATGATTGCATGTTAAATGTACTGAAGGAAAAATGCTTCTACAGATGTCAACTATCTCAGCTCCAAAACTTGGAAGCTAACAAGCAAAGCAGAACAAAAACAGTAGTTAAATGAGAAGCAGCTCATGAGCATCCCGGTTTGTGTGTGCTGCAAATCAAAGCCTGGCCCTTTGCAAGAACAGATGCTGCTAACCTCTGCACCATCTCTCCAGCCCCATACATCCCAGTTTAAAAGAGGACAGGCTTACATAGGACACTCTTACCCACAATTGGAGACCTCAAAGAGACCCCAAGAGTGAGAAAGGGCTCTCCCTGAGGAGTGTGGAGGCCCAAAGCTCACTTCTCTAGGCATTCCTCCTGGCACAAGAGCACCCTGTGGAACTATAGCTAGCACACAGAGGGGGATAGGGAAGCTGCAAAGTAAAGACCAGAAGATTGACATCCATAAATATTTAAACTTGTAAAAGGAGCTGATCATTTAAAGAGCCATTTAATGCAAAAATATAAGATCTACATATGTTTGACATCTTTTTTGGTTGTTGTCGATCATGCTGGTGATGAGCCTGGATGACCTGAGAAGGTCCTGAGGGAGGATCAGTTTGTCTTCACCTTGAGGGACAAAAGAATAGTCACAGGTGGAGGGTGATGGCTGGAAGAAGGAAAGCCTCTCACAAGTGCCGAGTAAACAGCCAGCATGTGTCTGTCTGACTGGGCATGGGTGTCGGGGGGCAGCACCTGGAATACAGTCAAGGCAGGGAGTACACAGGATGAAGCTAAGGAAGTATACAGAGATATAAGGAATTCAAAAGGCAGTGGGAGGACCAGAAAGTAGGGAACATTGCATGCATACTAGAATTTGAGCATTTAAAAGCAAGCTAGCTATATGATAAAACCTTCATTAATCCAAGAATAAATGCAAGTTTCCGAATTACAATGGTTCCTCTTGGGAGTCTTCAGTCTGGGGAGATGGTTAGGTGGTCTGTAAAGTGCTTGCCATGCATGGGGACATGAGTTCAGGTCCCTGATACCTACATAAAAAGCAGCAGCCTATACCTATAATCTTAGTGTGTGGGTGGGTGGGGGCAGAGACAGGAGGATCCCTGGAGATCTGGGCAGTTAATCTTCCCTGGTAAATGAACTCTAGGTTTAGTGGGAGACCTTGCATCAAAAAATAAAGTTGAAAACCATGAAGGAATATAGCAGGCACCTACCACTGGTTTCCACACACTCATGTTCACAGATGTGTGCTCACATGTACACACATACACACATACAAACATAGAATACACACACACACTTCCACTTCACAGTGCTACAAAAGCAATACCTGTCCAAAAGAAATCCAACTTTGAATTCAGAGTATTGGTCTTTACTCTGACCAAAAATAGGCAGCCACAAGGAGCCACTGGTCGAGGTCAACCATGTGACCTGGGGGCTTAAAAACACAAATGTAGCACATTGCTTTCTCAAAGTATGTGCCCAATAAGTTACACAAGACTGTGAATTATAAAACAGATCTTATAGTTGATGCCTTTTTACTCCTACAGCAAAGGGATATAGATTCAGATTTAAGGTAAGCCTGGCCAAGCTATGATGTTTCATAGGCTAGCAATATTAAATGCTTCTAGGATATTTTCAACTTAATAGGTTTATCAGGACCATAACTTCATGGTAACCAGAGAAGTGTGCATTCTTAGTGTATGTTAGTTACTAGGGATCTAAGTCTAGGTAGTATCATATCAATCAGTGATTCAATAATTTATCCAA